CTTGCTTGCTTGCTTGCTTGCTTGCTTGCTTGCTTGCTTGCTTGCTTGCTTGCTTGCTTGCTTGCTTGCTTGCTTGCTTGCTTGCTTGCTTGCTTGCTTGCTTGCTTGCTTGCTTGCTTGCTTGCTTGCTTGCTTGCTTGATTGCTTGCTTGCTTGCTTGCTTGCTTGCTTGCTTGCTTGCTTGCTTGCTTGCTTGCTTGCTTGCTTGCTTGCTTGCTTGCTTGCTTGCTTGCTTGCTTGCTTGCTTGCTTGCTTGCTTGCTTGCTTGCTTGCTTGCTTGCTTGCTTGCTTGCTTGCTTGCTTGCTTGCTTGCTTGCTTGCTTGCTTGCTTGCTTGCTTGCTTGCTTGCTTGCTTGCTTGCTTGCTTGCTTGCTTGCTTGCTTGCTTGCTTGCTTGCTTGCTTGCTTGCTTGCTTGCTTGCTTGCTTGCTTGCTTGCTTGCTTGCTTGCTTGCTTGCTTGCTTGCTTGCTTGCTTGCTTGCTTGCTCGTGTGTTGGCTTGATAGTTTGTTTCCTTGCTTGGCTTGGCTTTGCTTTGCTTGACTTTGCTTGGCTGTGTTTTTGGTGTTGTGAGTTGTTTCATTTGTGTGTGTGTGTATGTTTCTGTGCTTGTGTGTTTGTTGTTTGATGTAGTTTGTTCTGGAACATGATTTCTAGTTGTCAAACGTCGTTCTACCCATGGGTGATGCGCTTGTCGTGCGAGCTTCGGAATTTGCCCCTCCAAAGATCAGTAGTGGTTCTTCACTGGGGGCGGGACTGCGATACCTTTTGCAAGGGAAAGCGATCCGAGTTGGCCGAGGAAACTCGCATAGCTGCTATGGCTGAAGAAAAACGACAAGCTCGTAATTCGACGAACGTAGTTAGACAACACGAGCAATTACGTCTGTGTGTGTGATCAGGGTATCCTTTTCAGGTTCGGTTAAATGGAAACTTGAAGGAAAGCCGCCATTTGCTGGTGTCTACACATGCCCATGTCTTGTTTGACAAATTACCTACAGTTCTCATCTCGGCCAATGGACTCGCGATGTCAATGTGTTGTACATTTCTAGATGGAAAGGCAATGAGATGGATGTCATTTAAGTCTGCCAGACCCCTTTTTGTGATTTGATCACTTTGATGTGTTGGTGTATAAGCCCTTTTGGGCTTGGAAACAGATGACTTCCAGTGCACGACGCTGAGAACCATGCGCTGTGAACTTCCCATGGCAGCCACAATGGAAACCCGGGTTGAAGGTTCGCAGGGGACGGTCCCAACTGGAGCCGCCCTTTATTCTTTACGGTTTTTGGGTGGACCATCTTTGTAGCAGGTGTTTATGACTCGCAGTTGACTCGATCAAAGCTGTCGTGCTAAAAAAGGTCAAGTCGGGGTTCGAGGGACAGGGCAAATCACGAAATCTGAGATACAAGGGAGCGCCGCCCGTATTTTCTCACTATGAAAGCGGCGTATGACTGTTGTGGCCTTTGTTGATCGTGGATTTGAAGTCATTGCTTGCTGGTGGTTAAACAAGTTTGGCGCCCTCAAGAAATCAGATTCGTCCGTTCCTCCTTGTCCAGCAGGCAACCCCAAGCCCTACCCAGGAGGTCTGGCAGAAGGCCATCGACCTCATCTTGGCGCAGGAAGCTGAGAAGGCCAATCGAGCTCGGGAATGGGGTTGGTGGAGCGGTTTTCAGGCGCCCAAATCTGTGGTTTTCAGTGTCCCAAGGAATTTGGGACGCCCAAATTGGTGGCTTGGTGGCCAAGCTTTGCTCGGGGAAAACAAGCACTCGTGCTGCGAATGTTTGGTCAGCCCCTTTGTTGTGTCAGCTTAGCCTCCATGTGTGGCTTGTTGTTTTTATGTTTCCGCTGTTTCAAGTTTGCACCTCCCCAAGCCAATAAATGCAGGGGCTGTGCATGGATAAGCAGTCACTAGCCACCATATCCAAGGTATAACATTGCCGTGTTTGTTTAGTGTTTTGTCTTTTTGTCTTGTCTCCATGGAGTTCCTTCGTGTCCAATTCAACCAGCAAACAATGTGTGTTTGCGGGGAGTCTGAGTCTGGCGCAGACCAATATAAGTACCCAACACAAACGTCCGATCACTGTGCCTTGAACATTCCAAAACATGCACAATCGATACGTAGTGGACGCCCGGGAAAGATAACTTTCTATCATTTGTGACCTATGTCGGAATGAACCAGAAGATAGATGTTCCACTGAAAAGCCGTTCAAAAAGATAACCTTAGTCCCACGTGGCCAAGAGCCTCTTTGGCATGTTGGATGCTTGGTTCTGGCTTCATTGGCCCATTTGGTCGAGCACGCGCTGTTTTCCCATCTCTTTGGTCTGACGGGGGAAGGAGTCAACTGAAGTTCCTATACACTTTCGCACTTGCACTGAGAAGTGGGCGACGTTCCGGGAGCTGAGAAAGTGCACTTGGTGTTTTCACGCGCACGTTCAAAAATGCTGCAAAGTTGCAATCTTTCAAGCTGAGGGTGCCAAATGTAGTTGGTATACTGTGCGCATACTGAAGACTTGTGAGATGTCCGTTCCTCGCAGTGCTCCAAGCCATTCCTAATGGCCTGGTTTCCATTTCCCCTGGTTTCGTCAAAAGGGGGTGTTGGGGGTTCGATCCATACCGAATCTGCCAAAGCAAACAAACCCAAAAGGCCAGTTCGGAGTCTCCTCTCATCCTAAACTCGCCAGTGCTCACTAGCCTTGTGGGTCAAAAATGGGTACACAAAATGGGTGCCCTGGTAAATGGAACCAATGACCAAACTAGGCGGTTTTTTGGTGGTTTAATGTTGACCCACACTCATGTTTTGACACGGTACTTGCCAGAATGGGCACCCCCGCTTTGTCAGGCGGAGATTCTTCTGCGCCGAGTCATCCGGCACTTGCCACGGGCTCGGCCGCGCTCGGAGTCTGAGCGTTTCAAGAGCTCGGCTGTCCCGTGGGAAACCCATAGGAAAACCCATAGGGAAACCCGGTGTCCCATGGTTGTTGTTGGGAAACAGTTTCTATGTTTTTGCTTAGTGTGGTTTAGTGTTTGAAATCCAAACACTTAACTGCTAAGATCTAAGTTTTGGCTCCCCTTCCAACGTCAACCAAGGTCCCGGGACAGCATCAAGTCCTCTCTTACCCCTTTCAAGAACTTCTCTTCTGAACTGGCATCGTTTAATAGGAACTCAACTGTACTTATCCATGAAAGGGCAAACATCCGCATGGTAAATTATGGCCGCGCCGAAGTTTTGTGCTGAGGTACAGCCACGAATCCCGGTTCGATGTCGTGGATATGGACGAAGGTGCGGCTTCTCAAAGTCAAAGCTCCAGTTGGCCCCCAACGTCTGGGGCCCTTCAAGTTGACCCCATATTGATCAACCCAGTTTAGTTTCATAGGGTCCGATTCTGGGTGTAGTGGTTGGAAATCAGACCACTTTTTGGAGGGCCCCTACACCCTATTAATAAACAGGGGTTGATGAATATGGGGTCAACATTACAGCGAACCTCTTGAGGCTCCAGGGCTTCTCAAGATTCATTCCCCTTGTCAACCACCAGGCGAATTTTGGGTATGTCAGTTTAGAGGACCCGGCACCATGTCCAAATGGGCGGACAGCAAACACAGAAGGACCGCTCCAGAAGCAGTGGGCATTCCCCAAGGGTTTGACCATCGTCCATGTTGGATAGCTCTGGTTTGGAGGCGGACTAAACGGGACTTCCCGGCCTGAGACTCGTAAAAAAACTGCAAACCCACTTGACAGCCATGAAGGGGCGCATGATTATATTTACACCATTTCCCCAAAGGGGCGTGCGTTTTAAGGAGGGAAGCATCTTGGAACCAGTCACTTCCATGGCTTTTCCCCTTGGCCCCGTGGCTCACTTTGGGCCACAGGCCCATGTGGACGTTGCACGTACAATTGTGCGTTCGAGCGGTCGTCGCTTGTCAGTTCTTTTTCTGGAAAGTTGCCGTCCGTTGGCAACCAGCCTTACAAGAATTGAGCTTGCCAGGATGTGTTTTTTCCCGGTGCTTCGATGTCGCAACTAGGTGTGGTACCCTTTTCAGCTTGCAATGAAAATGGGAAGCCAAGGAGAGGCCCTTTTGGGCCAGAATTGGCAACCCATCTGGGCCCATCTGGGCTTCCCCAATCAGAACATACGCATCCCATTTCGGGACCCGGAGAGGTGCCAGCTTCAAGCTCACCAAGCAGCTCCGGAGGCGCCGCAGCGGTCTTTGGGTCCGTTTTGGGTTTGAAGGGAAGGGACTGCAAAAGGAAAACGGTCATTTTGGGGGACCCCTAGTGTACTGCACACCCAGTTGATGATGTGAATCAAAAGGATGTGAGCCCAAGAAAACCGTGGGTGTCCAGAAAAACACCAACAAAGCACAAGAGAGGGGTCGATGTTTGGTTTTGTCTAAGTCAATTTGGGGCTCGCGACGTTGGGGACGAATTTGGAGAACTTTCTAATTGTCCACATCATTGGCGGGTGCCAGCACGATTTGATGTCTCCAAGGAGTCTCGAGCAGAGTGAGTGAGTTCATCTTATATCCTGTGATGTCTAGCTTTGGTTGCCTATAGAAGTGGAGCAACAGCCCCCAACCTGTACTTGATGTGTTCCCCTTCACCAGGCATCTCAATGCTCCTTGGTGTCCTCTTGGTTTCGCAAGCAGCTCAGTGTTTGAACCTGCCCAAATCTGCCCAATTTGTTGATGTCTTTGTGTGTGTCTGAAAATAGGCGGCCCCATATGCATGCCCTCCATTGCCCGGGGCTCAAAGAGACTCCGTGGCTAGATCACTTCATGGGACCCTGACCAGAGTGCGTGCGGCAATGCAGCAAATGTCCCTTCCTTTGCTTCCCTACATCGCCCTTTGCTTCCCTACATCGCCCCCAGTAGAAAGGACGGCCATGATCCAGCTGGCCAGGCGGGTTTCAAAGCGCAGTGAAACCCCACAGCGACCCGTGTTTGTTTTTCCTCGAGGGGGCCGACCGTTTTGTTCGGGATTTTGTTCCAGGCTTTTGGGAAGTTGTATCCGTCCATCCAGCGGGAGAGAAGTTCCCTAATTAAATAATGTAGCACCCGTTGTTGGGCTGAATTGTGATCAGGGACCCTTTGGGCATCATTTAGGAGGGGGTTCATGTATGTCCACTAACCATGTTTTAGGTGATTCCCTAGTCGAACGGAGGGATCCAAATATGGCCCAAGCATTGCCCAAGAGGCTTACCCCGTGCTTTCGCAGTTCTTGCGACCTGAAAACCGAAAGTTTCGCAACCGCCAGGGCCTGATACGTTGTTTCCGTTGACCTTCAAAGCATTTGCTTGAAGCATGCTCCTTTTTTGGCTCACTGATCTCATGTTTTGATTGTAACGTTATCGTTTGTGTAGGTTCGGATCAAGTGTTTTTTTGGGCTGAAAAAAGACTTCCTCAGATGAAAGGGTTTGGGGAAGCTTGTTTCCCTCGACTTTGCTCGGGGACCAATCCTCCATGGGTCTTCGCCGTCGAGCGCACCGAATCTATGCATCGCTCAGGGCCGACACGAAGAAGGAGGAGGATGAGCGATTTGCAGCTTGGCAACTAGAGAAACTGTTTCCCAGGCAGCACGGCCAGGTTGGTCTGGTGAATTGGCCAAAATTTTAGAGTTTGCTGCAGGTTTCTCAGATTCCCTTGCAAGTAGTTGGAAACTCTGGGACTTCCCATTGGTGTTTGGTTTACTTGGTAACGAACAGTTGAGACCTGGTTTGGCCAGTCTCACAAAGCTTCGCAGGTCTATTGGAAACTGGAAACACCAGAGGTGGCACCGCGTTTTCCAACACAGAGAACCTTGGGTGAAAGCCCCGGCCCCACAAACCGAGAGTTCGGCCAACCCCCTTGTGTCAATGAGTCCGCCGTTCTTTGAGGTGTTCGGCTTCCCTTGGACGAGGGGCATGTCTGCAAACCAGTCCGGCAAACAACGGAAAGCGCCTGCCACGGCATGCGATGGCTTTCCCTTGTTTTCCCTTGCTTTCCCTTGCCTTCCTTCCTTGACCTTGCTTTTCCCCTTGCGTTGCCTTGCTTTCCCTTGCTTTCCCTTTCCGTTGCTTTCCCATTTCCTTGCTTTCCCTTGCTGTCCCTTGCTTTCCTTTGCTTTGCCTTGCTGTCTTGCTGTCTCTTGCTTTCCCTTGCTTTGCCTTGCTTTGCCCGTGCTTTTGCTTGCTTTGCCTTGCTGTCCCTTCCTTTCCCTTGTGTTCCTTTGCTTTGCGTTGCTTTGCCCGTGCTTTTGCTTGCTTTGCCCTGCTATCCCTTGCTTTCACTTGTTTTCCCTTTCACTTGCTTTCCCTTGCTTTCTCTTGCCTTCCTTTGCTTTGCCTTGCTTTGCCCGTGCTTTTTGCTTGCTTTGCCTTGCTCTCCCTTGTGTTCCCTTGCTTTCCCTTGCCTTCCCTGGCTGTCCCTTGCTTTCGTTTGCTTGTCCCTGCTTTCCCTTTCCCTTTCTTTCCCTTGCTTTGCCCGTGCTTTTGCTTGCTTTGCCTTGCTCTCCCTTGTTTTCCCTTGCTTTCCCTTGCTTTCCCTTGCCTTCCTTCGCTTGACCTTGCTTTTCCTTGTTTTCCCTTTCCCTTGCTGTCCCTTGTGTTCCTTTGCTTTGCCTTGCTTTGCCCGTGCTTTTGCTTGCTTTGCCTTGCTCTCCCTTGTTTTCCATTGCTTTTGCTTGCCTTCCCATGCTTCCCTTTGATTGTCCTTGCTTTCCCTTTCCCTTGCTTTCCCTTGCTGTCCCTTTCTTTCCCTTGGTTTCCCTTGCTTTCCCTTGCTGTCCCTTGCGGTCCTTTGCTTTCCTTTGCTTGTCCTTGCTTTCCTTTGCGTTGCCTTGCTTTCCATTGCTTTCCCTTTCCCTTGCTTTCCCCTGATTTCCCTTGCAGTCCCTTGCTTGCTGTCCCTTGCTTTCCTTTGCTTTGCCTTGCTTTGCCTGTGCTTTCGCTTGCTTTGCCTTGCTGTCCCTTGCTGTCCCTTGTGTTTCCCTTGCTTTCCCTTGCTTTTTTGTTGCTGTCCCTTGCTGTCCCTTGCTTTCCTTTGCTTTGACTTGTTTTGCCCGTGCTGTTGCTTGCTTTCCCTTGCTGTCCCTTACTTTGCCTTGCCTTCCCTTGCCTGGCTTGCTTTCCCCTACTTTCGCTTCCTTTGCCCTTGCTTTCCCTTGGTTTGCCTTGCTGTCCCTTGCTGTCCCTTGCTGTCCCTTGCCAGCTTGACCCAAGTCAGAGCAAACCAACAACTGCACAACCCTCCTGCACTGAATCACATACAAGCAACAACCCAAACCAGCGCCCGTACTTACACACCCCGTGTCGTCTCCCTGGGACCTGCAAACCAGCCTTGCGGTGGCAGCTCCCAAAAAATGGAGTATTTTTCCTGCGACATCCCCAGCATCGCCGACCACCACAAAAACTTCCAAAACAAGCGACATCCCCTGCATCCCCGGCATCCCCTGCATCCCCGGCACCCCTTGTGCGCCCAAGTCCGGCGAGGCCGGAAGCAAAGTAAAATGATGTAAAACTGGCACGCTTTTTGGCCCGCGAGAGCCACAGACGAAAAGGTCAGACATGATAGGCAGCGTCGACGAAAAAGCACGAAAAACACGGGGAAAAACACAAAAAACAGCCTTGCGGTGGCAGAAAGTGCTCCAAAAAATACTCCCATTTTTTGGGAGTATTTTTTGGCTGACCAGACCTGCAAGTAACCGGAACGAGGTTACCCCCCCCCCCCACACCCCCCCCCCACAACTTCGTACACTAACTCCCAGCGCTTCAAGAAGCGCTTTCCGTCATCGGCGAGAGGAAACCAAAGGGGTCCAAGCACATTCTGCACATGCATGGGCTTTCTGGGCTCCAGGTTCATCTGCAAAGGACGGAACACGGTACGTGTTGCAGCCGATGGACCGATGGACCCAGAAATCCGTCGGAGGCCCCGGCTGAGACGCTGAGGCGGCCATGTCGGATTCGCGGCACAAAGACGATGGAGAGCTGCGTGTGTCCGATGTGCTCCACATCAAGCCGCCAAGCTGCAAACTCGACCTCGCGGGGTCCATCTTGTAGTACTGTGGATGGACAAGATCCATTTCGCACCACCTAAGAAACCCTGGATTAAGAATTCCCCTGTAAATACCAACAATTAAGCAATTGTTTCCCATGATTTCAAAGTGGTGCAGGATTTTGTCCATCTACAGTAGTGAAGTGTGTGTTTTGTTGATACCCGTTTTGGGCTTGGTTTTGATTGGGCGATAGAATGCCAGCCAGTTGCTCACATGCCCGATCCCATAGCAACAGCGCTCGGTGTTTGGTTTGGATGTCCTTCATAACCCCAGGGGGCATCGTCAAAGAACGCGGCTTAAGTAGGGTGACCCTAACCGGGTTGGATGGGATGCTGACATGATTGTTTATTGGTGCCAGCGCTGGGACCCGGTTTATTAGGACCCCTCTGATAGAGAAATCCACCAGTTTCGGTGTGTCGTCCTTGTCAAAACCACATGTGTGTGTGTGTGTGTGTGTGTGTGTGTGTGTGTGTGTGTGTGTGTGTGTGTGTGTGTGTGTGTGTGTGTGTGTGTGTGTGTGTGTGTGTGTGTGTGTGTGTGTGTGTGTGTGTGTGTGTGTGTGTGTGTGTGTGTGTGTGTGTGTGTGTGTGTGTGTGTGTGTGTGTGTGTGTGTGTGTGTGTGTGTGTGTGTGTGTGTGTGTGTGTGTGTGTGTGTGTGTGTGTGTGTGTGTGTGTGTGTGTGTGTGTGTGTGTGTGTGTGTGTGTGTGTGTGTGTGTGTGTGTGTGTGTGTGTGTGTGTGTGTGTGTGTGTGTGTGTGTGTGTGTGTGTGTGTGTGTGTGTTTTTTGAAGGTTCCCCTTTTTGGGTGGTAATAAAAGAAAACAAACAGCAAAGCCACTATTTTGGGGTCCCCTCAAAAAGGACACACCCACATGAAGCGAAGAAAGGCATGGCCCCGTTTGTACTACACCATGTCTGACAATGTGGATTCTTCCTTGGCCCCAGGCTGACACTCGACAACCTCCTGGACTATGCCAAGCCTCCTGACACCACACGGGACCACCTTAAGAGAAAGAAAACAAACATAACGCGTTTACAGCAAAACAACCATAGTTAACACAAACCGAATGCCTTACGCAACAGCCCTAAAGAAGCAGCAACAAACAAAGCCACGTTTCGCACAAACAAACTCGTCTTCACCTCGAAAATTACATATCGTGGGATTTCCGTTGGGGCTTCTCCGTCCCAAAACACAGCACTGGATGCATCTCAAGATTTGTGGCCCCCAAAAAAATTGGCCGTGTCCGCTTGTTTTCCTTTTAGCGCAACCCTGACCAAGGGCTCTCGCAGAAAAGTACAACCACTTGATGGTTACACCGGGGTGCAAGTAGATGGCAACAAGCCCTGCTGGGCAAGTGAGTAAGTGAAGGGGATGATATCATCATGGGGAATTGTGCAATCGAAGATCTCTCAACCAAACCTAACATGTGTGTTGTTTCCAGCCTGGTTTTGGAAGAAGCGACGACTGAACAGAAGACGGTTGGTTGATACACTATTTTAGTTTACATGTTTGTTGCTTGTGGTAAGTGGGAGTATCAACTTGTTTTTGTATTGGCTGACCTGGAGTTCCAGTGGTGAAGTCAGCTGATGGATGCTCGGGACGAAAGCAAACATGTAACATGCAAATTTCCCGCTGGTCGACTCTTTGCTGCGGGATTGGGTCCCGTGAGAACAAACAGCATCGAGTCAAGCATGCTTTTTCGCCAGAAACTGGGCACACGAGACCAGCGAGCTTGGCGTGTGTTGCGCATTTGGCCGCAAAGTGCCTGATTTCACCATGAGAATGGCATGGTACTGCCACAGGTTGCTCAGTGCCCTCGCGCAAGGGCCGGAAAAGCCGGAGCTCTACTTGGTTGGAGTGTGTTACGTGCCCGAAGTGAGGATCGAAATGTGCGCGAAATGGTGCGAGATATAGCTTTGATTACGTTCCTTCGTCTAAGAGTTGCAGGTCTCAAAGAATTGCCGCAGCGAAAGAGTTGTTGGTTGTTTTGGTGTCACTCGGAAAAATGGATCAAGTGGTCTTTGCAAGTTCCCCTTTTGCAAGCAAGTTCTGCGAAAAAGGACAACGACGAAGAGCACACATGCAAGTGGCTTTGTGATGTTGACTGAGGATTAATCAACCCTCAACAATGGGCGGGGGTGTTGGTTCCGCAAAGCTTCAGGTTCCTCTTCAATGGGGCACTCCCTATTCATGAGCCCCAGATGTATGAATCCTGGGTCGATATTGACTATGTTCTCTCAAAGTAGGCGCCGCGTGAGAGAAAAGTGTGCTCCGCAAGTTTAATTTTTCTGCAAGAGTGTGCTCTGTGCAAGTTGTTCTGTTTCTGGTGTACCCCAGGTCAGAGGGCTGCCTTTGCTGAAAAGCCTCAAGGGCCACGAAGCATCGAATGGCCCCCCCCCACGGCGCGCGGCGCGGCCCGGTGCGCTTTCCGCCGAGGGCCGCACGGGGCGGCGTTCTGCAACAAATGGAGGAAGAGGCGAAGACCAGCAGGCGCAAAAGTCGATCTGAGTCCTCAAGTTGGTGACTTGCTTGCCCGGTATGTGCGAAGCTTCGAACCCCAACCACGGAGGGAGCCTTTAGGCTGATTTGAACAAGTAATATATCTATGTATATTTATTTGTCGATGGATTTGGGAGGGACACGGTCGACTCACCAATTTCTTCCAAAAGACGCCGCGTTTGCGCACCCTACTTTTTCCCCACGTCCACTACCTGATACAACAGAAAGTCTGCTACTCCTTTGGGGTTAGCTTATACAAATGGAAACCAATGGAAATTCTTCTAATTTAGTTTTTTTTTATTTCTTTAGTTATTTATTTATTGGGGGGGGTACCCCCGAAAAAAGGACATCCGTATGTGGCCATGTTTGCATGCTTCGCTGTGGTGATCGTCCAACCCAAAGGAAACACCTCCTTGCCCTTTGGTTGACCCCGCGAAACAATTAGAGTGCAGCGTGTTCAATGTGTAGATTATTTTTTCTGTACCCGTTTTGGCCTTGCGTTGGTGTTCATATCCAATCTGTTACCTACGGGTTTTCTTTCCACAAGTTTCCGTCGGCGCTAGGGCCCCAATTTTCTGGCGCCGACGCGTACCCATTTGCAGGTTCACCTTTTTTGGCACTCGAGTGGTCAAGCCGCCTGGCAGAAATGGGCTGGAGACAACTGCCGGGTTCACCGATTGCCAAAAACAAAAAAAGCCTCCCCCAAACCCTTTCCCCTACAAAGCGACCCGACATAGCGCCTTCGAGGGGGGAGGGGGGGCACGATCCGTCTTCTTCAGGCCTTATTTGGATACCTCATTTGGAGCGAGAAAGGCCCATCAGCAAGAATCTTCCCGTTGTGGGGACATTGAACGTCATGTTGTGGATTCTTGTTGTGCTTGCCCCCCCCCCCCCGAGTTGGGAAAGTTAAAGCTTACTTGTGTTTAAGCATGATGCCCATGTTCGCTCCTGGTCTAGCCCACAGGTCCGAGTTCGAGAGAAGACTTGGGGCGCTTCGGGTTGAGCCAAGGGGAGAGAGATTCAAAGTGTTCCCCGTCGCCGTCGCCCGTAGGATGTCTCCCTCGTCTCAGATACCCAGAAAAAAAAAGGAAAAAAAAGCGATTCAGCGAAGTTGCATGCTCGATCTGAAGCGAGCAACTAAGGCGCATGCTGTGCTACAGCTGGGCGTTGATGCTTCTGCTTTGCCGCACCTCGGCAGTACTCAAATTGCAATGCTAGCACTGGATCTGGAGTCCTTTAGCATCACCTTGGCCCATGTTGAGTGGGCCAAGGTGATGTTCTTCAGGTGGTACTGGACGAAATCCCAGCACCACCTAAGAAACCCTGGAAGGATGATTCCCCTGCAAATACCAACAAACATTTTTTCCCATGGATTCCAAGTGTTGCAGGATTCTATCCATCCACAGTATGTCAGGGCGAAATCCCTGCGCTTGCAAATTGAACCCAAGGGTCAGCCTTTGGGGCTGGGAAGTGAAGGTTTGAGGAAGCTCTCCCCTTCGCACATGGCCATGGGTCAAAACCCCGTACCCCCAGTGAATATCCCAATCCCCACTATAGGCTAAAATGGGTGGTGCACCTATCCCAAAATGGGATCCCATTGGTTTTGAACCATGGCCACATGTTGAAAAGGAGGTTTTGAGAATTTGCTGGTTCTCAAGGAATCGTTTCCGGGAATCAGGTACGTTCCCACCCTGTTGATGCCCTGCTGGGAGCACTCCAGCCACTGTCCAGCGGGGCCTGACACAGGGGGACGACCCAATGGCCTCATCTCCTCTTGGCGAGGCATTTTTGTGTTCTGCCTGTTGGGTGTTCAACGGACGCCAGAAGCCAACCCATCGAACAAAGGAGGTTCTCAAGTTTTTGGCAAAGGGACTCCCTGCCTCTGGCTTGCTATGTTGCTCTCTATGACTAGGGAGACTGATTGTTCTAAAGAGAAGAGTTACTGCTGCTCTGCTCTTCGAGGAGTGGATCGTCTACTTCATTAAGTGTAATGCAGGTCAAGTGTTGCAACTTAAACGCCAAAACCGGGGTGAGCCCCTGCTTCCCCGTCCGTTACGTCTCACCTGGATCTAGCCTTCTCTGGTGGCCTTCAGCGATCGAACCCTCCCTGCGACTCCGAGGCTTCAGCATCACGGTCTGCGCCATGGTGATGCCTCGAGACGAGGGCACCCTGGTGCCTTTGGCCTACATGATCCTCAAGCTCTCGCCTGGGGCCCAAGCACGAAGCAGAGAGCCAAACCGAGCCGGGCAAACCTTCTCCGGGTCCGGTGAGAAGAAAGAGAGCCCTCAAAATGGGTGGGCTTCCGGCGGTTTTCCGAAAAATGTGGGCCGCGCTAGTCAGTCAGATTCTCTTGTCGGCGCTTCGGTGGCGTTGTTTACTGGTTTCGGACTGCAAACTCGATAGTGCTGGCCATGTCATGCATCATACAACCCAAACAAAGGTACCCTCAAAAACAACACCCACTTCTGTCAAGTTGGTCCCTGGCGAACACAACCAGAGAACTTGAGTTGCGTCCCTTTTTCACTTGCTGCCTGGCACTGAAAAAGCCCATGGCTGTTCGGAGAGCAGTTCTCCGTGTCTCGAGCTGTCTCTCGTTTTTCTTGCGAGGTATATTCTCATGATGGCCACCCTGCAGCCTTACGTGTGGTCGTACTTGAACGATTGGGCGCCTTGCAGTCGCAGTCGGAGTCTAGTTTTGTCCCAGTTGCAAAAAGAGACCAAAAGGACACCACCGATTTGGGTGTTAATGATTTAGAGACCCCGGCTGAGGTGGGGAGGGCTGTGAAAACGTGGGAATGGGAGGGAGTGGGACCCGGTTCAAAGCGGCACCAATGGTTTTTGGTGGCTCACGAAGTAGGAGTAGATGTTGCATTCAAGGCAGTGTGGATCGGATCCATGGGCAAGAATCAAAATATGTGACGTTGACTTAGGGAAGGCTGAGGTATGTGTGGGTTTCAGTGTTTGTCACCTCTTTCCTTTTTGTCATTGTTTGGTCAGGATTAAGACACCAAGTCGGAAGTCGGGGTGCTTTCACTTAGGGCCGATAGCTTTTTGTTAATCCGCACCTCCAATAGGTTCATGTGTATTTTGTTCGGCGGAATATGATGGTAGTATAAGTATATCTACGTAGATATATATATATATATATCCATATGCTACACTGATACACCCTTCCCCCCCACCCTAGCCCCCTTGATGAACCTGCAGCTCGGTCAGTTTTGACCGGAAAACTCCAACCTTGTAAGATATGGTTATGTAAACTTTAATTCGGAGAAGCACTGCATAAAGCAGCTCCTTGAAGTTAAACTCTAGCTCAATCCTAGCAGCTTACTTCCTTATAGTTTCACGCCAATGGTCAAAAGGCGTTGGGTCGAAGGTTGAAGATTCCACAAACTGTTTGGAAAGTCTTTGGGCCAGCCCTCAAGTCCGCCAAGAAACTTTTTGCAAAACGTTGAAATGTGTATTCCCCGTCGAAGATTGACGCCCCAGAAAGCTCTGCCATTTTCCCCAAGATCGCATTGAAGATTGAAGATCTCTTACAAAGCTTGTTTTGATGCGCTTCAATCCTGGCCAGCCTTCAAGTCCCCAAAACCACTTTGAAGTGTTTGCAAAAGCTTGCACATTTCTCTACTCAGGATTGAAGATCGAAGATGGAAGATTCTCCCAAACGTTTTTTTTCAGGTAATCGTCAATCTTTGATCTAGGGGAAAAACACGTTAAAGTGTTTGGAGGTTGGTCAGGATGGAAGGAATCGTCAATCTTGAATCTAAAGTTTGTTGGGGTTGGTCAGGATGGCATGTTCTCAGAAAAGGGTTCTGGGGGATCTTCAATCGTCAATCCTCGATTTAGTTTAGACCCTTCTTCTAAGGTGAAAAAGCATGACACATGCTTAGAAAACAACGTGGTTTACAGGATTTACAGAAGCGACTCAGGTCCATGGGATGGCACCATGTGTCGATCTATATGTATATATGGTGTATATATATATATATATATGTATACATGTGTTTTGCTAAGTCATTCCACGTGACATTTAGATGCCATTCAGTTTGCTTAGCCTGAGATCAAAGGTACACATCACATTTGGCTTTTGGGATCACGCACAAATCCAAGGAGATCGTGGTGCACTCGCTGATCTTCATGCGCCTCGGAGGGGCGGTTGGTTCGAAGGGTAACAAATTGATCCTTCCGGTTTGCCTTGCTGGTAGAAAATCACCACACAGCCAGCTGATTTCGAGGATACGCTTATAAAGCAGAGTTTTTCGTGGATGCATCCTTGGGACCCTAGAAACCGCGCTAAAAGGATGTGTCTTTTTGAGGGGACCCCCCACAATGATGGTTTTCCCTTTGGTTCCATCTAAAACCAAAAAAGGGATACCCTCAAAGACGCACCCAAAGTTGCCGAGCCGAGGTTCATGATGTTTGTCATCTCTGACTGGTCAGCCGGGGCCCTAGACGCAAGTCGGCGCTCGCGTGTCAGTCTCGTGGCGTGTTGGGGACATCCCGCAGAATGGTTTTCCCTTTTGATGTTCTTCAAGCCAAGCCCAAACCGGTTTTCTCAGAAAAAGTTTTGGCACCCATTTTGGGGCCCCGATTGATTTTGGGGCCTCAAAATGGTTGTTTTTGAGGGCCCTTGAGGGGTCGGGTTGTTGTATTGGAGGGTCCGGGGGTCTGCATTGGAGAGGTCACCCTAAGGGCAGCAGTCTTTTCGGGCATTGCCCTTACCTCATCTATTTCCTATGTGTCTCCCGCTTTTGGAAGAGGGTTCCCCTTTCAGGTAGAATCAAAGCGCCCAGGGCCACCTTCCAGCCGCTCGAACAAACCCGAGCTTCTCACCTATTGAAGCCGATGCAATGGGCCATGTTTGTACATGCCGAAGCGTGTCTTTGAGGTCCTTTCAGAGAACGATGTGACTCAAAATGCCGAGGAAGTCAAATTGTTCTTCCTTGGTTTCCCCAAGGGGACGGCCTTAAAGCAAACATACACAACTTCAAAGTCCACGGCTAGGCGATGGCCAGTGACGTTCTTTTGGTGGTGGCGACGTGGGCGGCCATCGTTCCGGTGCTCCTGCGGATCTTTGTGATTTGCACCATCAAGGCCTTCCGCTTTCGGCCGTTCGGTTCCTCTCGCCCAAGGGTTGAACAGTTCAACTGCTTGTGCCGGGAGTCTAAGTGTGTGTTTGCAGTGTGGTTGCTGGTGTTTCTGTGTTGGTCTTGATTCTTGAAATGTGTGTGTGTGTGTGTGTCTGCCGCTGACGTTGCCTCTGTTTCTGTCTTTGTGTCTGTGTCTGTGTCTGTGTCTGTGTCTGTGTCTGTGTCTGTGTCTGTGTGTGTGTCTGTGTGTGTGTCTGTGTCTGTGTGTGTGTCTGTGTGTGTGTCTGTGTCTGTGTGTGTGTGTGTCTGTGTGTGTGTGTGTCTGTGTGTGTGTCTGTGTGTGTGTCTGTGTGTGTGTGTCTGTGTGTGTGTCTGTGTGTGTGTGTCTGTGTGTGTGTCTGTGTGTGTGTGTCTGTGTGTGTGTCTGTGTGTCTGTGTGTGTGTGTGTGTCTGTGTGTGTCTGTGTGTGTCTGTGTGTGTGTCTGTGTGTGTCTCTGTGTGCGTGTCTCTGTGTGTGTCTCTGTGTGTGTCTCTGTGTATGTGTCTCTGTGTGTG